CACGAAACCTATTCCTACCTGGGGTGATCTGGCACCGGTAATCTACTGTGGGGACTGGATGCATTTCTACCAAAAGCCGCTGGGTTCTGCAATTTGTTTCTGAGTCTCTTGGATCATGGAGGAAAGGGCCGGCCCCACCCCTATCCCTTGAGGCCCCACGTGTCTCGTCACTGTGGGCCCAACCTCACTGTCCAGTGGCCTCTCGAGGATGACGGTCACCGAGCCGCCAAGCGGGAGCAGGTAGAGGGATAGCATCCTTTCCTCACTGGGGTGGCCCAGCACCGGTAACCTACTGCAGGGACCAGGCGCATTTCTGGGTTCCGAGATTTGTTTCTGAGTCTCTGGGATCATGGCCGTTAAGCAGTCTGATCAGGAACCAGAGAGGCCTTGCCTCCAGTTATATAGCTGAGCTGGAGGTGGTTTGTGGGTGTTTCTCCCACCTACCTAACTTTTGGCCATTTACTTTCTTGTTAAACTTGGCCCCAAGTTGTTGGGGTCTGGCCAAAGGCACAGCAGCAATTTTGGGGTATCTAGAAGTCTGAAGGTACCATCAGGCTGCTGATGCACTTGCCGCACAGGTACATGTTGACCTGCTGATGGCACCATACCCCCAACACTGTTTCTTTAATGTCCAACAACTGGTCTTTGGATAATGAGGGCATGCCTCTAGTCTTGGAGAGTACTATCCTACAAATTGCATCTTGGCATTAGAAATGGCTTACAAGTAATTTCAAAGTTAGAAGTCAGCAATCTGTAATAAAATGTTTCATTTTATGTTTGCTAGGATTAAATGAGGTGAAACTCATCTCCATCCCTTTAGGGCAAATTTCTTTTTTCTCAAGATAGATTTTCCTGTCAGTATACTTGGTATACCTACCGGTGCCTAAAAGTTCCATCGTTATTTGAGCATTTAAGTGAGACTTCGTGGACTGTGTGGTGATTAAAGGCCTGCCACTTTCCGGCAGTCAGTCTTTAACTCTCTCTTTCCCATACTATATTAACTAATGCCTCTGACTGTAAATGCCAGTTTATAAGTGGTTCTGTTAGCCTGACAGCTGTGCTGAGACAAGCTGGGGTTGGGGCAGGGTGGCAGGAGACTTTAAGTAGCTAAGTAATTAGGTGGAAACTCTGAGTTCTGTATATTTCTTAAATAACTTGAGCATTTAACTTTTATATGAGACAGAGTTTTTGTGCCTACAATGTATCTTAACTATTCTACCATTAAGGAAGGGAAGATTATTAAGTTCTACCCTGAAAGAACTAACCTTTGAATTCACTCATCTTGAGATTTTTGTTTTGGCCCACTCTTAGCAATGCTCAGGGCTTGCTCCGATAGGTACTTACTCACAGGACATTGCACTGCTGGGAATCAAATCATGGCTTCTTTTGTGGTAAACATGCACTTGAGCCCTTTGAGCAGTCTCTTTTTCAGCTCGTGAACTCTAGATGTTCTTTTTGACAGGGAGGGCCTGGCCTGGTGTAGTTTCCACTGAATCTCATAACTGCTTAATGCTAGAGCCCAAGATTGCTGCTTGGGTCCTTTGGTGTTAGAAATTACATAGGCTACCCTGGCTGGGCTAAAGGGCTTACAGGATTGCTTGCACCCAGTGATGCTTAGAGGACTAGGTGGAGCTATGGTTGACTTCAAACAGGGTATGCATTTTAATCCTTATACTCTTATGCTAGCCCTTCGCTTCTAGATTTTTTCTTGTTTTTAGGCCATACTTGGCTGTGATTGGAGGCCATTTCTGGCTCTTTGGTCAGGAGTGCCCCTGAAGGTGTTTAGGGTATCCTATGTGATGCTGGGGATTTGATTGGTGTCTATTGCATGCAAGGTGAACTCTTCACCTCCTGTGTCCTGGTCTGTATGATTTAGCATCTTTGTTTCAGGAAGGTAGATTCTGTTTATTTGTTTGGTTGGTTTTGGGGTGCTACACTAAGTAGTGCTCAGGGCTTACAATTACTAGCCCTTTGCTCAGGAATTACTCCAGGCAAAATTAAAACTCACTCCTTATTTGTAAAGGATGACTTCTGAAAAGGATCTGGGGACCCTATGGGGTGCTGGGATTGAACCAGGTTGTCCACATGCAAGGAAGCACCCTACCTGCTATACTATCGCTATATACTTTTAGATTCTAGTTTCAGTTCTTTTTCTCAAATTTCTGCTTGAGAAATTAATCCAGCTGCAGGTAATGTGTGAAATAAAATGAGCTGTTGACCAATAATTGACTTTTAAGAATGAAACTAGTATGGAATTAGCCACAAATACACATATGCCCAGTAAAAACCTATACATCTGTAAAGATATGGACACTTGCAAAATTTTGACAAGATAATATGGATGTGATTCTAGGAAAATGGAATTGGAATAAAATTGTACTTTAGGAGAGGAAAATTTAATTGTATCATATTCTAAATTGTGTGATTACTCAAACAGGTGGAGCTCTATCTATCTGGAACAGTCAGAAAAAGCCTGAAGTTGGCATTATTTATCTTCCCATATTTAGGGTAGAAATGATAGGAATACATAATAGGAACTAGGGAGAGGGATTCTTTTTTTTTTTTTTTATTAGTGTTGGCTGCGTGCAAGGCAAATGCCCTACCATTCGATTCCTCCGCCCCTCTCGGAGAGCCCGGCAAGCTACCGAGAGTATCTCGCCCGCACGGCAGAGCCTGGCAAGCTCCCCGTGACGTATTTGATATGCCAGACACAGTAACAACAAAGTCTCCAATGGAGACGTTACTGGGCCCGCTCAAGCAAATCGATGATCAACGGGAGGGCCTTTACTTTACTTACTTTATTAGTGAGACACCATGAGGTACAATTGTAGACTTACAAATTTTTGTGCTTGGGTTTCAATTATACAATGATCAAATACCCATCGGGAGAGGGATTCTTTTATGAGAAAGTGATAGCCCATTAAACCTTCAAAATCTTCAAGTGCCTTTATACTTGTACTATTTTTCAAGCCCTGTAGATTGTTTTGAATTTTTTATCTTAATTTTTTTTCAAAACTCATTGAATTTTAGCTAGAGAGATTGTACAGTCTGTAGTGCAGAGGTCAAGATGAAACCCTGAGCAGTGTTAGATGTGGCCCCAAAACCAAATAACAACCAAAAGATTGAGTTTTATTTTGCTTTGGGGTCACAAATGGTGGTGCTTGGGGGGACCATGTGGTACAGGGATTGAATCCAGACCTCCTGTATGAAAAGCATGCCCTCCAGACTTCTGAGTTATCTCCTCAGTTTCACTTTGGGTTGGTTTTTTTTTTTTTTTTTTTTGGTGCAGGGGAGAGGTTTGGGCAGACATCGGCTAAAGGATGACAGGTGAGCTGAGAAACACCCTCCAGGAGCAGCCGATAGCTATTCATTTTATGTAAAATCTTATCACGCCGAAGGTTGTGTGTTCGCAGGCTCACTGGATGGCACTGTCTCACCACCTGCGTTCGGTGCTCTTGAGCCGCTGTGTGTGGCCTGGATCGGAACGGCTGTTGGCCAAGGGCAGACAGAAGAAGAAACGAGGGCCAGGCCGGTCGATATCAATAGTAGTTTATTCCAATCCTCTTCACTACTGTCTCTCTCTGCCTCCTTCTCTCCTGGGCCCCAATCTGAAATCTCTCTCCTTCTGGCTCTGACTCTGAATCTCTGGAGCCCAAGCCCTCTCGCTTCTGACTCTCCTCTCCCTGAGCTTACAGTCTTAGTTTATATAGCAGTCACATAAGGCGGTGACATAAAGGTGGGTTGAATATTGACGAATCAACAAAGAGAGGTAAGACCACTCCTCCAGGAGATTAACTCAAGGATAAAATCTCTTCTACAGAGATTACTCCAGATTACTAGGAGATCCGCTCAAGGGTGGGATCACAACAAGGGTGTGTTCTTCCCTCAGTTAGTAATCTACTTAAATAGTTTAATAAATCTACTTCTAATATTTCTAGCAGTGTCATTTTGTATGAGCACAGTAAGAGATATAAACTTAGTTTGGTTCTTCCTGAGAACATCTCACTATACATTCCTCAGTCCTCAGGCCAGGTTAATCTTCCTAGCTCCGGCAGGGTCCTAGTCTCGTCGTTACTTACTTTTGGATCATGACAGCATTTGTCCATGATCATGCCCTCAACTTATAGTTGAGTATCGTGGCTCTTTGGCCTGGTCCATTTCGATGCCAGGGTAGCTCACAGCTTGCCCTGGGTCCATTCAGTCCCTCGTCAGGACCCTGCTTTGGGGGTGCTAGGAACTAAGGGCAACTGAGTCAAGAAATCAGATGCCCAGGAGTAAATATTATTTGGAGTCAATCAACTCCCAAGTTACAAAGCATAATATTAACTGTCTTCCTGTGTCCAACAGAAAGGACATTGCTTACAATACAAGTTCAGTGTCCTTAGATGGGTGTGACCTGATAAACCTAAGCTACCTGAGGAAGGACAAAAGAGTGTTATCCTACAATTTTACTGCCAAATACACACATAATTTATAGAGGGTCTTGTGTTACATGAAGGTCCAATCACATAAAGTTCAGCATTATTGGCCTGTCACTTTCCTACTCTACTTTGTTCCAGTCCAATCCCATTCAAGGCTAGATGGAATGCTTGTAGGACTAGGTGCAGTTAGGATGACATGCTAAGTGTGCGTGTGACAGTTTCTGTGTGTTGGGTACATGTGAATAGGAGGTCGAGTGAGACTCAAGGCCAGATACCCGGTGCTGACACCCTGTTCTTGCCAACTTTGGTGGTGGGATTGGTATTGAAATATTGAATGTAATCAATTACTGTGAACAACTCTTTGAAAACAAAATTTGGAAGAAAAAAAAAGATTCACTTTAGCCCGCTGAACTATCTCCCTGCTTCCTTGTAGTCTTATTTATTTTGTGTGATGCCAGAAATTGAACTCAGGGTCTTCTAAATGAAAAGCTTCCATTCTACCACAAAGCTTCATCCCCAGTCCTGATTTGCAGTTTTAAATTAACAACTTAGCTTTCCATTATTTCTTCTTATTCTCAGGTTTGGTCCATCGAACTCACATGTCATCATGTCGTGTGGATAAGCCCTCTGAGATTGTGGACGTTGGAGATAAAGTATGGGTGAAGCTTATTGGCCGAGAGGTAAAAGTTGTGTACAATTTTTTGTTTGCTTTTGTGCCACACTCAGAAGTGCTCAGGGTACTATATGGGCTGCTGGACTTCAAACCCAGGTCAACCCCTTGCAAGGCAAGCACCCTGCCTGCTGTACTATCTTGGGCTCTACAATTTCTTTGTGCTTTGAAAGGGTTAGGGAAAAGTTGGAGTTATTGCTCTGTGTGTGTGTGTGTGTGTGTGTGTGTGTGTGTGTGTAGAGAAAGAGAAACAGATAAGTCCCACAGATTTTTTTATATGTGTATCTATACTTTTATATGTATATAAATATAAAATCTGTGGGACATGTCTTTATGACAAATTTTTAAAAAATATATACAGAATACACTTTAATTTTCACAGACACGAAAAGAACACAGTTTATAGTAATATTTCCTTAATATCTGGCAAGTAATATGAGGGAAGTGAGAAAATTTGAAGGACTTGTTAACTCCTTTGAAGGTATATATACTTATGTTGGTATGGGAAGACCATAAGAAAAATGTGAATAAACCACCCTAAAGCCTGTTCTTCTACAGAAAACAACAAAGGAGGCAGAAATTATGAGGTCTGTGGGAAACAGTAAATCAAACAGAATGGTTCCAACTGCTATAGAGTGTATATGGACTATAACTGAAGGAGACAAAGAAACTAGGCAACTATGTACATAAAACTAATTGGAAGGGAGACATGGGAGGGATACTGGAAACATTGGTGGTGGAGAACAGGCACTGGTGGAGGGATGGGCACTTGATCATTGTATGACTAAAATATAAGCACAAAAGTTTGCAAGTCTGTAACTGTACCTCACAGTGATTCATTAAAAAATAAAAAATTAAAAAAATAGAAATGAATGATTAAAACAAACAAAACTAATAGGAAATTATAAATGCAATAGAAGTTTCAAACAATAATGAAAGTAGTTTTAAATGAAGTCAAAAGAAGGGGAAAAAAGAAAATGACTCATTAAGAAATGGAAATATTAATGAAAATCCAAAGGAAGAGGGAAATTGGTATTATGAAAAGATAACGATAAGAATGTTTCAGTCAGAGGTACTGGATCGTAGTATGGCAGGTAAGGTGCTTCCCTTGCACACAGCCAGCCTGGATTCAATCCTTAACGCCACACATATGGGTCCCTGAGCCTTTTTGGGAGTGAATCCTAAACACAGAGCCAGGAATAAGCTCTGAGCACCTCTAGGTGTTGCCCCCCAAAACAAAAACAAGAAGAAAGATTTCCATCAGGACTGAAGGACTAGTATAGGAATTAAGGCACTTTATTGCATCCCACTGAACCCAGTTCAAATTTCTGGTGTCACTGGTTATAGCCCAAAAATAAAAACAAAAGGGGAAAAAAAATAGGGACCAGCAACTTTAACTTGCTAAATGGGCTGAATTCATGTTTTTTCCTTTTTTATTTTGACTTTTTGGGTTAGACTCAGCGATGCCTCAGGGGTTACTCCTGGCTCTGCATTCAGAAATTACTCTTGGTGGTGCTCGGGGGACCTTATGGGGTCCCAGGGACCAAACGTAGGTTGGCCCCCTATTGCAAGGCAAATGCCCTACCCACTGTTCTATCACTCCGGCCAGCTCATGCTTTTTTCAACCCATAGCATTGCATGGTCTCTAGAGCACCAGAGGAGTAACCCCCAACACAGAGGCAGGAGTAGCTTCCAGCACCACCATGTGTGGCCCCTCAAACAAAATTTTAGTCAAAGGGAATAAATGATCCAAAGACTCTGTAGTAAAAAGGTTCTCAAGTGCTAGAAAAAGCAAAAGAGGACCAGTGTGACTTAAAGTTTTCTTCATCTTTGTAGAAACTTTGTTTGGGGCCACAGCTAGTGATGCTCTGGAGTAACTCTGGCTCTGCACTCCGGAATTAGTCCTCGAAGTGCTCAGGGGGTCATATGAGATGCTGGGATTGAATAGGTTATGTGCAAGGCAAATACCTTACCCACTATACCATCTGTCTTGCCCCTATAGAAGCTCTTGGCCAAGTCCAAAGGAACTGTAGTCATTGAAAAATTCTGGAGCCCATTAGGTCTCATGGATATGAATATAGTTGGAGAAACAGTTTTCAGTGGGATTGCCTCTCTAGACCTTGAGTTTCTGAGAAAATATAACTACTTTTCTTCTCCACTGCATGTTCACCCTATTCTGAAGGAACAAGAATAAGATGGAAGTTCCTAAAAATTAAAAAAAAAAAAAGACTATGACCCAACAATTCTAATTCCTTTTTTTCTTTTTGGCTTTTTGGGTCACACCCGGCGATGCACAGGGGCCAACTCCTGGCTTTGCACTCAGGAATTAACTCCTGGCAGTGCTCAGGGGACCATATGGGATGCTGGTAATATGGAATGCTGGGAATCGAACCTGGGTCGGCCACGTGCAAGGCAAACGCCCTACCCGCTGTGCTATTGCTCCAGTCCCATTACCCAGTTTTTAAGGTAAAGGTAAAGGTAAAGGCCCTCCCGTTGATCGTCGATTTGCTCGAGCGGGCCCAGTAACGTCTCCATTGGAGACTTTGTTGTTACTGTGTCTGGCATATCGAATACTCTCGGTAGCTTGCCGGGCTCTCCGAGAGGGGCGGAGGAATCGAACTCGGGTCGCCCATGTTGGCCGCTTGTAAGGCGAACGCCCTACCACTGTGCTATCGCTCCAGCCCACCCAGTTTTTAAAAGGAAGGAAATGTTATTGTAGGCTACAACAAAAATGAGCTTTCAGTATGTCATGCAAAGTGAAAAACATGCCAGTCAGCATTTGCTTTCCTAATATTTGGTTTACATTAGAATCATAAGGACATTAAGTATAGTAGTGAATGCCAGTGACTTGGGGGGGGAGAAAGGAGAATGAAGAATAATTATTAATCTTTTGTTGGTTTGAAGGCCATGTCCAGTGGTGCTCAGGGCCTACTCCTGGCTGTCCTGAAGATTCTCTCAGTGATGTTTGGGACCAAATGGTGCTGGGGATCAAATTTGAACCTCCTGTATGCAAAGCTTAATCCTTTCAGGTATCTCTCAGCCGTAGGAGTTACATTTAAAAATAGAGTATCAGTTTTATAAAGGTAAAAATTATGGCGTTGGATGTTGGTTGGTGATATCTACAGAGCAATGTGAATGCCACTGAACTATATAATTCAGCATGATTATGATGGTGAATTTTATGTTCTGTGTACTTGAATACTTTTTTAAAAAATGTGATGAAGACCATTTTCTGAAATTCTTCTGTCAGAGTATTTGCCTATTATGCTTTTAGGTAATCCCACTGTTCCTAACACAGGGCCTCAGCCATTAAAGGAACTCAGTGTTTGCTTTTATAGTAAAAGCTTTTATTCTTAGGTAAAGTAATTTTAGACCAATATTATCTTTAGACCATCATAAATGATGTACTTTAAGCATTCAGTAAATTGCTTTTGTCTTTTTCAGATGAAAAATGATAGAATAAAAGTATCCCTCTCCATGAAAGTTGTCAACCAAGGGACTGGAAAAGACCTCGATCCCAACAATGTTATCATTGAGTAGGTAAAAGGTTTGGGAAGCTAAATTCCTCCTGTCTCTGAAAATACAGAATGCTGTAGTGAATCAGGTTGACTTGGGAACACTAGCACTTAACAGACTTTGTGCTCTCTGATTTTCAGTTATAATGTACAAATAACAGTTTACTGTATAGAGTTCTAAGATAAAATGCTAAATGTAATTCCCTTCCCCTTGTTTTTTTAATTTTGGCTGTTTTATCAGCTAAGTAACAAATATTTATAAAGTACTAGTTACTTGTTTCTCTCCTAATTGGACTGAAAATAGATAGAGAACATGTGGGAGGGGAGAGTAATCTCAGAGCAGCTCCAATTGAGTTTACACTACTATATCTTAGGGACTTATTCTTACAATGCCTTACTACCTTTCTGATTATTTTATTTAAAAATGGAAGATTTAGGGCTCAAGGATATGGATCAAGTAGTAGAGTATACATGTTAGGTATGTGTAAGGCCCTGGGTAAGAGCCCCTTTGTTTAATCCCCAGCGTTGCGTGGACTCTTGAGTACCACCAGGATTGACCCAACAAAAAAATAAGTTAGAAACGGAAGATTTTCTATTTGTGTAAGACACTGTCTGGTGATGCAGGGAATTTGCCATTTGTTTTAGAATCTCTCAGATATATGCCAGAGATTTCTAATCAAAGGATATTAGATCCTTAAAGATGCTGTAAAAGAGCGTGAACTGTTTTCAGTGTTTTAGGAAGCCAACCAATATTTTAACACATTTATCCTGAGATTAATCATGGCACTGGAGGTTCCTGAGCACCACTAAGGTGGCCCTGGTAATTCCATGAAAGTCAAACATTAAGCACATCCTTGAGCACTAGCCCTGAATTACTAGCCTAGTCAGTTGATATTTCTGGCGTGGCAGAGATTAATCATGGCATTCTATTGCTTTTTGCTGATAAAAATACAACATGCTTTATCAAGAACAACAGATGCACTCAGTTGTTACTATTTTGTTTTTAAAGCACATGGTTTACAATATTGTTAATGATAGTTTCAGTGCATAACACAACGCACTTGAAGTAGTATTTTTTGATTTGCATTTCCCTGGTGGTAAATGATATAGAGCATTTTTTCATATACCTTTTGGCCACTTGTGTTTTCTTTGAGGAAGTTTCAGTTCATCTCCCCCGCCCCCATTTTCTGTTTTTGTTTGTTTTAGAGCCACATCTGTGCTCTGGATTGAACCCAGATTGGTTGCTTGCAAGGCAATATGGATGCTGACAAGGCAATCCACTCTACAATCTTTCTGGTCTACTCTCCCCAATTTTTTTTTTTATGGGTTTGGATTTCTTTTTACTTGTAAAGTTCTACCAGTGCTTTATATATCTGGGATATCAACCCTCTATCAGAAGAATGGTAGACAAATATTCTCCTAGTCTGTGGGGTATCTTTATTCTGATCCTTTTTTTTTTTTGTGCTGCAGCAGCTTCTGAGTTTGATATAGTCCCATTTTTGCTTCTAATTAGCCAGTGATATTGGATCATTGAATATATCTCTGGCTTCATGGTCATGGAGTATTCTACTTCTGTTTTCCTTGAACCTTGATATAATTTTTAGATTTGGGTTGAAATCAAGATCTTTAATCCATTTTTTAAAAACATTTATTTTTTTTCTTTAATTGATTTTGATTTGACTTTTGTGCGTGATGTTAGAAATGAGACAGTCTGCAATTACTTTGCATGCAGTTGACCGGGATTTGATCCCTGGCACCCCGTATGGTCCCCGAACACACCAGGAATCATCCTTGAGCACAGAGCCAGAAGTAAACCCTGCATATAACTGTGACCGAACCCCCCCCAAGAAAAAAGAATCTTTAAGGACAGAGGTTAAGATTTTGAACAGATATTTTTAGATTTTATATGTTTATCAGCACTGTCCAACTGAGTAACCACTAGTTATTCATAGCTATTTAACATAAATTAATTAAATAAAATTTAATATTCAACTCCTCAGTCACAACTTAAATTTTCAGTAGTCATAGACGTAAAAAGTCAGTAGTACAAGGGGGGCTAGAGAGCTAATACAGTAGGTAAGGCACAAGGGGGTACATGCTTGCCTTGCATGTGGCCAGTCTGGGTTCAATCCCCAGCACCCCCCATTTACTGCCAGGAAAAATTCCTGAATTCCTAAGTGCAGAGCCAGGAGTAACCCGTAGGCATCACTGGGTGTGGCCCCAAAACAAAAGTGAGTAGTACAGACATAAATTTATAAATAGCCACCTTCTGTCATTGCATTATATTGGGCTGTGTTTTTTCTTAGTTCAGGTAGAAGAATAAGGCTATAGACTTTACCTATGAAGTCTTACTTATGGTATAGATGGTGAAGGTCAATGTAAGCAAACCTGTAAATGTTGTGAAAGCACAAAAGATAACTCCTCCTGTGATAGCAGGGAATAATCTAAACTTTGAAATGAATGGAATAGGATATTTTGTCTGCTCTTGAGCCTACATATTTCATAAACTGTTAGCTGAAATATGTGAAGTGTGGGATAGTACAGAGGGTAAGGCACTTGCCTTGCATGCAGCCAACCTGGGTTCAACCCCCAGCACCCCATTTGGTCTCCCCGGGTCCTGCCAGTAGTCACTACTGAGCACTGCCAGGTATGCATCCCACCCCCCTCAAAAAATAAAAAATAAAATATGTGAAGTGAGTAGCTTCTACTAAAATTCTATCTGTGTATGTGTGTGCATGCATTTGTATGTATGTGTTTATATTACCTGTAGCTCTCTATTGAAGTATATATATTTACTAAAAAATGTATACTCAAAAGTTCACAGAAGCAATATTCATATTAAAGCTTACTCAAGTACCTGTCAGCAGCAGAATATTTCATAATAATGAGAATGAATGACAATTATACACAATAAGAAAAGATGAATTTCACAAAACAAAGGAAACCTGGCACAGAGGAGTCCATATTCAATGGATTTGTTTATGTAATTTCCAAAAATAGTTTGTAAAACTAATTAGAAAATAGAATAGTGGATATCTTTGGAGGGGAAGAATGGTAACTTTGGGTTTTTTTTTTTTTTGGTCTTTTTTTTTTTTTTTTACTTTTTTGGGTTACACCCGGTGATGCTCAGGGGTTACTCCTGGCTCTGCACTCAGGAATTACTCCTGGTGGTACTCAGGGGACAATATGGGATGCTGGGATTCGAACCTGGGTCGGCCACATGCTAGGCAAAATGCCCTACCCGCTGTGCTATCACTCCAGCCCCGAAGCATGGTAACTTAACATGGCTCTCTTGGGGGATGGTGATGTTGGTATGTTTGGGCTATGCCCAGCTGTGCTCAGGGCTTACTCCTGACTCTGCTCAGGATTCACTTCTGTTGATTTTGGGGATATCATATGTAGTTCTGGGAATTCTAAGCAGGTTTGACCAGGATTCTAACCAAGCTCCTTAACCCTTATGCTATCTTTTGGCCTCTAAAGGGGCTTTCCAAGGTGCTCTTAATCTTCAGTTCCCTGTTGTGCATGCTGATTTATACAGATTCAAAATTAATTAAATTTTCAAATGTTTTTAAATGTTCAAATTTTCAATGTCATTATATTGTATACTTATGAACAGTTTTCTGTTTCTATATTATACTTTGATCAAAGATTAGAATTTTCAAAAGACATATGATAATGTGAACAGAAAAGTTAATTCTAGAGGATCAGGGAAGACTTGATAGGAGGTGGTGAGCTGCTTCTCAAATTGTTTGTATGTAGGAAAGTGGTGAAATTTTCTTGTAGTCTCTGGCAGCATCTCTCCTTTTGTTGGTTTTGGATTTGGGGCCATACCTGGCAGTGCTGAGGGCTTACTCATGGCTCAGTTCTATAGTGCTTGAGAATTTATTTGAACCATGGCTGGTTGCCTGCAAGGCAAGTGCATTAACCCCTCTACTGTCTCATTGGCCTCCTCTGGCAACGTCCTTTAAGAAAGCCCACAGTCAGCATTTTTCATTAAAGGCAAGAAGAGAGGCGGAGGCGGTCATTCCAGGATTACACTGGACAGAAGATCACCCTCGAGGCTGTCCTGAACACTACCTGCAAGAAGTGTGGCTGTAAAGGTAAGGGGAAGCCTCTACACAAGTCAGAATTTCTCTTCTTACAGACAAACTTTTTACTGGATGAAGGGTGCAGTCTACAATTTGCTCAACATAATTTGCTTTTTTAATGACTTCATCTGCTCTTGCTCTTCTTTCTGTTAGACACACCAGAGTTCATGGATTGATGCTTTTTTTGTGTGTCCTTTTTGTTTTAATTTGGAGCTACATCCATCAGTGCTTGGGGCTTATTTCTGGCTCTGTGGTTAGGGATCACCCTGGACAGTACTGGTGGATCATATAACCATATGCAGTGGCAGAAATTGAAGCTGGGTCACCAAGGCAAGCACCTTACCAGCTGTTCTGTTTTTCTGACTCTGTTTCTTTTTCTTTTCTTTTCTTTTCTGGCCATATCCAGTGGTGTTCAGTGATAACTCCTGGTGGGCTGGGGCTACCATATGGGGTGCTGGGGATTGAGTCTGGGTGGGCTATGTGCAAGGCAAACACTCTACCCACTGTAATATCACTGTAACCCTGTCCCTTTCAGAATGCTGTCTCTGCTTGTACTATGCCATCATAACTTTCTGCCCCATGCCCTATCTCCAATCCAAAGTTGATTCTTTGCGTAGGCAAGGTTCCCCATGTGTTTACTAAATAAAGAAGGGCATAAATGTTTGATTCTGATTAACTTGATCACTTGACATCCTATTACTCATCTGTTTGCTCAAGCGGGCACCAGTAACGTCTCCATTCATCCCTATCGCGTGCTAGTGTAGCCCAATGGTGTCTGCTCGCTCCAGGAACATGAAGAGCCTCAAACCGATTGTTCAGGGTTTTGACGAAGAAGTCTGACCATCTCATCGGTGGGCGGCCAAGTGATCTTCGGACTTCCCGTGGAATACAGTCAGTAATGGCTCTAGTCCAGCGGTCGTCTCCAAATCGCATTACGTGTCTAGCCCATCTGATTTTCAACTCCTTGGCAAACGAGACAGTGTCCCTGATTCTTGATCGTCAATGGAGTTCGGAACTCCAGATTCTTTCTCTCATTTGAGTGAAGCGTGATATTCCAAGCATAACTCTTTCGGTTCTTCTTTGGGAGACCCGGATAGTGTTCTCATCCTGTTTTCGTAGGGCCCAGGTCTCTGAGGCTTATGTTAATGCAGGAAGAACAGTGGAATCGAAGAGATGTGCCCGGAGCTGGAGGTTCTTCGTCCTCTTTGCTATTTCTTTGATGCTATTGAAGGTGTTCCAAGCCGCTCTCTTCCTCCTGCGCAGTTCAGGTGCCAGGTCATTTGTCATGTTGACTTTTTGACCTAGTTACACTATAGCATTCGGAGATGTCCTTCCCGTTGAGAGCAAATGGAATGTCAGGAACAAGACCATTTCTCATAAACATTGTTTTCATGAGATTCAGCTGGAGTCCGACCTTTCCACACTCACGGTCGAAGTCGGCCAGCATTTGTACCGCTTGGGTAATGTTTGGTGTTATTAGAACGATGTCATCAGCAAAACGGAGGTGGTGTAGTTGCCGACCGTCCATCTTCATTCCCATTCCTTCCCATTCCAGTCATCGCATGACATTCTCGAGGGTGGCACTGAAGAGTTTTGGTGAAATGGTATCACCCTGCAGAACCCCTCTCTTGACATGGATGATTGCTTCCTTGTAGAATAGTGAGATCCTGGTAGTGAATCCATAATACAGCTCAAGGAGGATCCTGATGTATCGAGTTTGAATGCCCTGTTTGGCTAGGGTTTCTATGACCGCTTCCATCTCAACAGAATCAAAGGCCTTCTTTAAATCGATGAACATTAGAGTGGCATCTTGAACTCCCAAGAAACCTCAATGAGCTTGGTTATTATGTGGATATGGTCGATTGTGCTTAATCCTTTTTGGAACCCGGCTTACTCACATGGTTGTCCTTCAACTAGAGTTTTGCCAATCCTATTCAGGATAACTCAAGTCAACAGCTTGTAGACAACAGACAACAGGCAGATTGGGCGATAGTTGCCAATATCGTGGATGTCTCCCTTGTACAGTAGTACAGTCCTGCTGATTTTCCATTGGGATGGAATTTTTCATTTAGACAGGTAGTGTGTGAAGAGCTGAGCCAGTGTATTGATGAGTACTGACAGCATGTTCTTCAGGTATTCGGGTCTGACCTTGTCTGTGTGCAGGGTGCTTTACCGACGAAATGGCGTGTCGGATTTCGGAAGGGAGAACATTGGGAATGACATATCCATTCTGCAGAATTTGGTATGTGGGCAGGTAGATGTGGCTATCGAAGAGTTCCGAGTAGAAGTCATGGATAATCTTCTCCATTACCCTTCTGGGAGATGTGATAGATCCATCAGGATGTATTATAAGATGGAAGCAGGCAGGATGGATTATAAGATCCATCTTGGTCTTACAATTGGCGAAGGACAGGCGGGCATTGCCAATGCTTTTCCCGGCTTCTGCCGCATCTGCCAGCACTGCTGCTCTTCTCTCTTTGATGTTTTCCTTTCTTGCTTCTCTGCACTGTTTTGCGAGCTCAGACGTTCGCTTGCGGTTGCCTGAGGCTCGCGCCAAGCCACGTTGGCAAATGAGCTCAAGAGTTTTCAGAGACAGGCTTCTTTTTGTGGCTGTCTCTCTCTTGTCATTCCTCGCACAATCATGGAGGTGCTGAACTAGTTGATCGTATTCTTTGTCAATATTATCAATGACGGCATCTTCCATTGTTGCCGCAATAGTGCCAGTTGGTGGTCATTCTGGGAGTTCTCTTATTAAACTTTGTAGCCCTTTCTCCCCACGCCGTGAAGTAGAATTTTGCACAAAGGAGATGGTGATCCGATCTCGTTTGGAATTTTGGGACAACAGCAACATCGGTCAGGCAAAACCATCGATTGAATATGATGTGGTCAGTTTCATTGTGGAACCATCCATCGGGAGACTCCCATGTTCAACGTTTAGATTCATCCTTCTGGAACTGTGAGTTACCATGGATAGTGTTGGTCGACATGATGAACTCAGGCAGTCTCTCACCCTGTTCGTTCCATTCTAGGCCATGGGTCTCAATGTGGAGCTCTTCGGCTGATCTTCTAGGTCCTATTTTGGCATTAAAATCACTGACAATGATCTTACAGAAGGTCTTTGTAGAACTTCTCCAGCTCCATATAGAACTTCTCACTTTCTCCTTCATCATAATTGGATGTTGGTGTGTAGACAACGAAGATGGAAACTGCCGGCAGTGATTAAGACCAGAAGCCCCACCCTACCCTGTCCTGTCTGTGTCTACCAACCTCTGGCGACCCAGGGATTACACACAGAAGACCCTCTCTACCAGTACCAGATAAATACCTCATCAGCAGACCTCACTACCTCCACTCCCCAGCCACCCCCACACTCCAGGACGCTTTCCGAACTGCGTGGCTGCTTCACGGCCGCACAACTCATCATAAGACACTTAATACCCATCTTCCAAGATTACTGCACTATATTTGATAGGCTTCAAATATGGTTTGAACCATGGGAACACCTGCAAGGGCGATTAGAGGCCTCTCTAAAAGCCTCTATCCCTCTAGGAGAGCCTGGCAAGCTACCGAGAGTATCCCGCCCACACAACAGAGACTGGCAAGCTATCCGTGGCATATTCGATCTGCCAAAACCAGTAAGTACAATGCATCTCGTTCCCCTGACCCTGAAAGAGCCACCAATATGGCAACGTAAAGAAGGATGAGGAAGGAGAGGCTGATAAAATCTCAAGGTTGAACTAGGCTGCCAAAACGAAGAAGGACAAAAATGACTGTACTTTCAATGCACATATGCTGGCATCAGATGCATCCATCAAGGACCTGATGGTACAAGCACGAAAGATCAAGTACGACATCATTGGTCTGACCGAGACAAGAAGGTATCAATCACATCACGCCATTTTCCACACTGGAGAAGAACTGTTCCTTGGAACATGCAACAAAAGAGGCGTCGGTGGTGTTGGTGTCCATGTCAACACGAACTTGGCCATGAGCATTGATTCATTCGAATGCCTAACAACCCGAATCAGACAATTACACTTGAATAAATGTGCCTCACTGCTGATTAACACTAATTTTTTTTATCTACAAGGGTCATTATTTTGCTGCAAAAAATGACAATATATTCCTTAAGATTCCAAGTCTTTATGTCTTTAACTTACTGAGTTCTGAATTCAGTAAGTTCAGACCCGTTTGTCATCTTTTCCCCCTCATCTTCCATCTGCCCTGCTTTCTTAATTTTTTTCAAAATAGCTTAATTTTTCTTGATTTTTTTTTTTCACAGTGACAGCAGGTTTGTGCTCTGGCTAAGGCTATGGGATTTAAACCCTCTTTCATTAATGTAGTGGGAAGAGGAAAATATAAAATTGAGAGAAAGAATACATTCTCAGGAAAATGTAAACATTCCAGATGTTTGGAAAACTATGTTTAATTTCCCATCCTTATCTTGTCAGATCCCCTCTGCCTCTAGCTAATCCTGTGGTCTACCAAAAGTCAGACAAAACCAGCTCTGCAACATCTGCTGAAGAGTCCTTGAGTAGCACAGTAGTCTTAGGGAGGTTGGGACTCACTTAACTTTAACTTGTGTCTGCTCTGCATTCCATGAGGCGGAGAATAATGGGAGATGGGAATTTGATTCAGTAATCATAGGTCAGGCGAAAGGTTAGTTTTGATGCAGCAGAAATACCATAGGGTAGGGAGGCAAGAGACCTGGGGTAAGTTTTAGCTCAGCTACTGACTTTGTGTTCTTGAACTGCTTCTCCTCCCTGCACCTTCTGCAAGTGCACTGTTGAATTTGATGGTTTCTAAGGCTCTTGCCGCATTTGACAATCTGAATATTGAATGCTCCTAGGTGACTGTACATTTCTGAGGTGAAATATGTATGCTGCCTTCCTGCCAGCTGCCTAAGAGCTATCTCCCTTTAGAGTCTAGCTTGCCCTCAGCTCCCTCTGCTAAGCTTTCTGCTCTCTGGAGCAGCCTTTTGTTGTCAGGAATAAGTTCCAAATAGATACTTGAAAATTTCTAGCCCCGTTGCGAATGTGGTTAGAGCAAGCTTGTGTCATTATATCCTCTGACATTTCAAAAGCAGCTCTGTTGCTTCCCATAGTGGCTAGTCTGGTTCTGATTGCTAGAACAGTACCATCTTCAGTAACAAAAAGTCTTTGATTCTTTTTTTTTTTTTTTTTTTTGCTTTTTGGGTCACACCCAGCGTTGCTCAGGGGTTACTCCTGGCTCATGCACTCAGATATTACTCCTGGCAGTGCTTGGGGGACCATATGGGATGCTGGGAATCGAACCTGGGTCTGCCATGTTGGCTGCATGCAAGGCAAACGCCCTCCCCGCTGTGCTGTCGCTCCAGCCCCCGAAAATCTTTGATTCTTATAACTGCTCTGATTGAACTAGTAATACCTCCCAATCTAGCCAGCCCCTTTCAGGAACTTCTGGGAAAATCCACCTACTGAGGGGAACTGCTTTTCTTCTCTATCCTCTCTGCTTCTCTTCTGCAGGTCACTTTGCAAAGGATTGCTTCATGCAACCAGGAGGGACCAAATATTCTCTGATACCTGACGAGGAAGAAGAGAAGGAAGAGACAAAGTCAGCAGAGTTAGAGAAGACTGACCCTACAAGGAATTCTTCTAGGAAAAGAAAGAAGGTGCTTGCTCTCTTGCTTTTATGTTTATTTTCACGTTTGAAAATGAAAATTTGGGTGCATATGCTGCCCGAGCCCATGTGCTACTTGTGCCAACATGACCAAGCACATGTGGTGCCCGAGCATGTGTTGCCTGCATCTCCCTTCTTGAGATGTGTACTTTCATGCTTTCATATCTACTGCTGGGATGTGTGTAGGGGCTCTCTCTCCGCCCTTGGAAAAGCCCAGATTCTCTCTTAAAGCCTGTTCTCCCACTTTTTTCTCCTTCCTCCCCTTCAAAAACCTCCAAATAAAATATGTTTTATTTCAAAAAAAAAAGAAAGTGAACATATGCTTTTTGTAGAAGTTTTTTTATCCAGAATTTTATAATATCTTAGGTATAGTACAGTCTTTTTTCTAGGTAATAATAAATACAGATAACTGCATATAAAGGCAAAAGTGGGGGTGGGGTGGGGAGGGGCAGCTGAGAGATAATCCAAAGGCCTTGTGCTTATGCTTTGTATGCAGGAGTCTTGGGCTAGATACCTGATATCATATAGTCCTTCAAGCATCACTGATAGTGACACCCCTGAGCACTGAGCTGTGAGTAGTCGAAAAGCCTGAGAAAGAAAGCAAAACAAAACCAAAATATGGCAGTACAAGGCATAAATTATATCCTGTTTTTTCATGCTCATAGAGCATTATCTAGTATTTTTGAGCATTCTTCTAAAATATGCTTTAAGGGTCTAGAGCAATATTGAAGTGATAGGGCACTTACTTTACACGCAGCAGACCCTAATTCCATCCCTGGCACCCTACCCATATGGTCCCCTGATCCCCTGTAGGAGTGATGCCTCAGCTCAGAGCCAGGAATAAGTTCTGGGCACTGCCAGATGTGGCGTCCAAACAAGAAAAAAAAAAAAACTAACCCCCCTCAACGGCCAAGATTCAGAGACTATAAAACCCAGCTCCCAGAAGCTCCGCATTTGCGGCCGCGCGACATCTTATCATCTCATTCCTACTTTAGACAAACTGGCAGGCTACCGAATGTAACCTGTCCACACGGCAGAGTCTGGCAAACTCCCCGTGGCGTACCCAATATACCAAATACCAGTAACAATGAAGGGTCTCATTCTCCTAACTCTGAAAGAGCCTTGAATATGGCACTTTTCTTAAAAATCTCAGGGCTAGGACGAAGGAGACGTTACTGGGGCCTGCTCGAGGCAATCGACGAATAACAGGATGGTTGTGATTGTGATTGTGATTGTGAACCCCCCTCAACACCACCCAAAATAACCCCAGTGCTTTCAGAACAGTATATGACATTGTACCTTTTGATTATCTGATTTTTTTTTTCAAATTTTCCTATTGTTGGATTTTAATTTTTCTTATTTTAGGGCCACACCTGTCAGTGCTCAAGGGCTACATATGGAGGTTGGAAGACCGTGCTATGTCAGGGACAAACCCACCCTCTAGAATCTAAAATATTCTCTCTTGCAGTCTGAGCTATCTTTGCAGCCTTGACTACTTCTCTAACTGGTTATTTGGGTTTTGTTTTTTTTTTGTTTGTTTGTTTTTTGGCGCCACAAATAAAATACTCATTACTCATGACTCTGCACACAGGAATTACTCTTCTCTGTGATTAGGGAACCATAGGGGCTGCTGGGGTGCATTAGTCATGTTCAAGGTAAGCACCCTACTTGCTGTACTATCACTCCAGCCCCCTGGTTATTTTGGGATAAATTCTTAAATAAGACTATTTCATTAGGGCTTTAGGGCTTATAGATACGTCCTTATCAGTTTGTCTTTCCAGAAGGTACTTATTTGTGTGTAGTAGTAAAATAAGTGAGAGTGCCTGTTTCATTTAGTTCTTTTTCCTCTCTACTAGTTCCAGCAGAAGAGTTCAAGAAAAGTGTTATTCTAGTGTTGGTAAAAATGAAAGTGTAGGGGCTGGAGCAATAGCACAGTGGGTAGGACGTTTGCCTTGCACGTGGCTGGCCCGGGTTCAATTCCCAGCATCCCATATGGTCCCCCGAGCACCGACAGGAGTAATTTCTGAGTGCATGAGCCAGGAGTAACCCCTGTGGTGCATCGCCGGATATGACCCAGAAAGCAAAAAAAAAAAAAAGAAGAAGAAAAGAAAGTGTATTTGTGGGACCAGAGAGATTGTACAGGGGTTGGTCCAGAGATACAGTACAGTACAGTACAGTACAGTACAGCAGGGTAACGTGCTTGCTTTGCATGTGGCCAACCTGGTCAATAGTTGTTGAGATTTGGGGGAATTAAAAATTGTATGTGATTTTTTTTTTTTTTGCATGGGATTGGCTCCTCTAAGCTCTCACATTGTTCATTGGCCAATGTATATTCATTTGGACAGAAATATCTTTAGCAGTCCTTGTTACTAACTAGGTACTGAATAGCAGGAATGCTTAGTATGTGAAAGACATGTATGATAAGTAACTCATATGAAGCTAAAGGTTAGACACAGCACCTATACCCAAACAGTTACTAGTATGAAGGGAAGGAGACTTATCAAAAGATATCTGGTAACAAAAGACAAGCACTCTAAGGGAATTACTGTTTCTCTACCTTTCTATTCCTTCTCATTTTGGTTTGTTTTTTCTTTTTGTTTCTTTGGAGGAATATGGGGTACTGTCCAGTGCCAGGGATCAAACCCAATGCACACACTCAGTCCTTTGAGCTATCTTTCTGAGCGCCCCTTCAGGGGGTTGCACACTTTGTTGTGCTGCTTACATTCTTGGTTATGGTGCTTGATAGTGTCTTACACTTGATAGCAGTACACCAGAGGGGCACTTCATTGTAACTCTAGGGATTGCAGTACGGGTGTGGTTATACCATTTGATTATGTAGAGGTGGTGCTAGGCATCAAACTCACAACTTTATGCATGCAGGGCAGCACTTTACCACCAAGCCACATCCTTGGGCCCTGGATTTTTGGGGTTTTTTGTTTGTTTGTTTGTTTGTTTGTTTTGGATCACACCCAGCGATGCTCAGGAGTTACTCCTGGCTCTTCATTCAAAAATTATTCCCAGCGATGCTTGGGGTACCATATGGGATGTCAGGGATTGAACCCAGGTTGGCCTCATGCAAGGCAAATGCCCTCCCTGCTGTAGTATTGCTCCAGCCCCAAGGGTCCTGGATTTTTGTTTCCTAGAGAAATCCAACAACAGGAAATGAAGTATGGCTGAATCACCGTAACTTGGGGCCAAAAAGTCAGAAATAGGCTATTTGGGTCTCATCTGTGTTTCACAACTCTGCTTTATTGTCCCACTTTTTTCTTTCTTTTTTTAAAATTTATTTTTATTAAAAACACCGTGATTTACAGAGTTAATTGCACTGCACTGTCCTCCTGTTGTTCAGCGATTTGCTCGAGTGGTCCCAGTAATGTCTCCATTGTAAGACGGTTGTTACTGTTTGGCATATCGAATATATCATGGGGAGCTTGCCAGGCTTTACCGTGCGGGCAAGATACTCTCAGTAGCTTGTCAGGCTCTCCGAGAGGGGCAGAGGAATCGAACCCAGGTTGGCCGGGTCAGCCACGTGCAAGGCAAATGCCCTACCTGCTCGGCTATCGCTCCAGCCCAGAGTTGTTAATTATACAGTTGTTTTAAGCATTTAGTATTCCAGCACCACCAGTGTGACCTTCCCTCCACCAATTGTCCCCATTTTCCCTCCCATCCCTAATTTGCTTCCTTAGGCACATATCAAATTTACTTTATATTACTTGTTTCAACAAAACTGAATAGCAAAAGATGGCAAATAGAATGATCAGAAAATAAGTCAGTCAGATCCAATTTGTGATTGCTATATGATTTTAGCCTATGTAAATAAGAAAAATAGAACCCTTTAATACAATACAATAAATGCTTATCTCATATGCATAAGTTCTCAAACTTTGAATCTAAAGTGTATTACATTAAATTTTATTTTATATTTGGATCTGATTATGGTACTAATCATACTTTTCATACTTTACCTTTCTTTAATAAAACTTTTAAAGAAATTCTTTTGCTAATTTTGGAGTTTACATGAAATAGGTAAGGCCTACTTATGTAAATTTCCCCCCCACACACACACACACTTTTTATAAATACTGTGGTTTGCAAAGTTGTTCATAATGATTTGTTAGAGTTATTCAGTATTCCAGCACCAATTCCACCACAATTATCATCTTCCCTCCACCATTGTCTCTAATTTTCCCGATCACCCCTCAAGCCTGCCCCCATAGCAGGCTCACAATAATTTGTTTTTATTGCTTATTATAAATAAATGCTAAAGAATGATCAAAAAATATTTCCTTAAAAGTAAATTAGTGTAAATTGTATCTCACCATGGAGACAGTAAGTCCTTGTATGAGGAATTACTAAGATAGTGTCACAGACTAAGCCTTTCGTGTTACTGTAACAAGCAGAATAAAATAATTGATTTTGTGTTGTTTGTCATGAAAAACCACTGAAAATGCTACCAAAAAAGTTTCTTTAGGGGTGGGGAGATGGGGGGATGGGAGGGATACTGGGATCCGTGGTGGTGGGAAATGGGCACTGGTGGAGGGATGGGTATTTGATCATTGTGTAATTGAAACCCAAGCACAAAAATTTGTAAGTCTACAACTGTACCTCATGGTGTCTCACTAATAAAAAAAAAGTTTCTTTAGAGGGGCTGGATTGATAGTACAGTGGGTAGGACATTTGCTTTGCACGCAGCTGACCCAGATTCGATTCCCAGCATCCCATATGGTCCCCTGAGCACTGCCAGGAATAATTCCTGAGTGCAGAACCAGGAGTAACTCCTGAGCTTTGCCGTGTGTGACCCCCCCCCCAAAAAAAAATTTCTTTAGAGGAGTGTGAAGATTGTTGTATTTCACCGAGGGGCCATTAAGCCCCTCTATAAGAGATCACTAACAGTAAAAAAAAAAAATGTGGTGCGGTACTCTTGGAATATGAGTGGTGTAAGGTATGAGTTGTGGTGCGGCCACATTTGCAGCTGCGTGGTCCAGGAATAGGTTCACTTGTGGGTGGGGTTCAGCCCAAGCATGCGGGGAGTGGCTGTGAGCATGGTGGTGGCTGAGTTCTGGAGGTTTTTGGTTGCCGGGGCTGGGTTCCTTGGGGCGGGATTGGTTGCCTTCTATGTTACATCCCGTCCAATCTGTAGTGCTATACTACTGGACAGTGTTGTAGAGTTTGGAGATGTTGCTCAGCCGCAAAGGCAGCTGTGTACTCCAGGAAATCCAGAATTTGAACTGGGTGATACAACTGGAGTTAAATTTTTAACTGATGGCGGCTTTGTGTGGGCATGACTGCTGGGGCTTCTGGAAGTACAGGGAGGTAGAGGAAGGTACCCCATCCTGTCTCCAAGAAAGCCTGGACGTTTCAGTCACAAAGACCTGCGTACTTGAATTTCAGCAGATTTCTGGGTGAGGCCCAGTCCCAAGACAGTAGAGTCCAGCCAGAAGCATGATTGCAATTTTGCACCGCTTCTGCTTTCTAATGGGAGAGAATGTCTAAAGTAAAGCCTCAAAGACAGAAGTTACTCGGCAAATTGGGCAACCAGGAAATGGCTCAGAATAAATAAAAGCATGTTACCTGTTTATCATGTTGCCTAGCATATAAGAGTCGTGCATAGTGGCCAAAACACCCAACTATGCTCAGGACTTATGTACTCAGGCATCACTCCTGGCAGTACTTGGGGGACTACATAGGGTTCTCAGAATTGAATCCAGGCTGACACATGCAAGGCAGTCACCCTACCCACTGTACTACCTATCCAACCTCCTCTTCTTGGCACTTTAGATGTCACTGGGGACAACAGTAAATTGACAAGTGAAAACAAAACAGTTCTGATAGTGGTGCTATGAGAAAAAAATTGGTTGAGACTAGGATTAAAGAAAACAGGTGACTTGCCATTTTACATACTGTGGTAAGGGCAGAAAAGAAAGTGAGGAAGCAAGTTGTTCAATTAATAAAAAGGGGAGTCTTTATAAACTAGCTATTTGGATATAAAACAAGTGAAGTAGCTGCTCTTGGCAGTGAGCTTGGCATGTGTAAGGAAGAATAAGAAGTTTGGTGTGACTGGAGTCAAGTGAATGAGGAGAGCATGGTAGGAGAGGAAATTAGAGAAGACCAATTATGTAGATTCTTATAGGAGTATAAGGGCTTGAGCTTTCAGTTAGAGTGAGATGGAAGTCATCAGAGGTCTTGGCTAGGCAGATGATGTGATTTAACTTACCCTTTTAAAAAGAAATTTTCTGGCTTCATGTAGAAACTATATGGCTAAGGTCAAGGTTAAGAAATAGCAAACTAGCCCCATGAGCGGCTCTCCAGCACGGCTATGGCTCCAGAGGCACAAGGACTTAAACCAGAGCCCGGCAGCTTGCAGCAGAAAAGTAAATGGACTATACTTTAAACTATGGCACCATGCCTCCCCGGGAGGGAAAAGGTGTCTCTCCCTTCTGCCTCCCCCCCTTCCTCCCCCCTGCCCCTCCCCGCCGCCCCCCACCCCTCGCCTGGCAGCAAGGTGGCCGCTGCCTCAGAGCTTATTGAAAAGCCAGGTATGAGCTGGCAGTGACAGGTCAACTGCAGCCTCACGGGAAGGGGGCCGGTACCGGCTAGCCCTTCATACCCAACTGAGGTCACGTGTTGCCCCCCACTAGCGACTCTCCGGCATGGCCATGACTCCAGAGGCACAAGGACTTAAACCAGAGCCCGGCAGCTTGTGGCAGAAAAGTGAATGCACTATGCATTAAACTACAGCTCCATGCCTCCCTGGGAGGGAAAGCGTGTCTCCAGTTATATAGCTGAGCCGGAGGTGGTTTGTGGGTGTGTCTCCCACATACCTAAATATTGGCCGTTTATTTTCTTGGTAAAGTTTGCCCCAAGTTTTTGGGGTCTGGCCAAAGGCACAGCAGCAATTTTGGGGTATCTGAAAGTCTGGCGGTACCATCAGGCTTCTGATGCACTCGCCTCACAGGTACAGAGATTGACCTGCTGGCAGCACCATACCCCCATGAATATATTCTTAAGGTGGAGCTTTTTTTGAGAAATCTCTTGAGAGGTTGGGTATGAGGTAGCACTGTAGCACTGTCCTCCCGTTCATTGATTTGCTCAAGAAGGCACCAGTAATGTCTCCATGGTGAGACTTGTTTATTACTGTTTTTGGCATATCGAATACACCACGGGGAGCTTGCCAGCCCTCAAACCAAAATATAATAATACAGATGCAGAAGTCATTATAAACTAGCCATTTGGATATAAAATAGTAATCAATTTCCTTCCTTATTCCTCCAGGCTACTGAGAGTATCCCGCCTGCACAGCAGAGCCTGGCAAGCTACCTGTGGGGTATTCGATATACCAAAAACAATAACAATAATGGGTCTCATTCCTCTGACCATGAAAGAGCCTCCAATATGGCAGGTTGGGAAGATGAGTAAGGAGAGGGTGCTAAAATCTCAGGGCTGGGACAAATGGAGACGTTACTGGCGCCCACTCGAGCAAATCAGTGAACAACAAGACGACAGTGATACAGTAATTCCTCCAGGCTAGAATAGGTTTGGAGGGAATTGTAATCAGGAGCAACCCAGGGTGCTTGGGAGCCCATATTCAATGCCAGGGATCAAACTGGGGTTGACAAACTGCATACAGGGCAAATGCTTTACTTCCTGTACTATCTCTCCAGCTCATTTATCTTTCCTGTTGTTGGGTTTTGAGGGTTCACACCCAGCAGTACTCAGAAATCATTCCTGGAGGGATTTGGGAGACTATATGTTGTGCCTGGGATTGAACCTGTGTCACCTGCATAAAAGGCAGGCATCTTACTGTCTCTCGACCCCAAGCCCATTTCTTTTGCTTTGTTTTGGTGCTACACGTGGTGGTGCTGCGGGATTACTCCTGACTTTGCACTCAAGAGTCAAACTTGGTGGTACTGGAGGAACCATATGGGATATTGGGGATGGAACCTGGGTCTGCAGCATGCACGGCAAACGCCTTAACTGCTATACTATGTCAAAGGCCCCAGCACCATTTTTTTTTTGTCTTCTTTTCCCTCCGAGTTTTTGGACCATATTCAGTGGTGCTTGAGGGACCATGCAGTACTGCAATTGAAACCAGGACTTCAACTGCAGAGCTCAGCCTTTTGGGCTATCTTCCCAGCCCGTGTGCTTAATTTTACTTTTTGAGGGTAGGTGGATTTTTGGGTCATATCTGGTGGCTCTTGGGAGCTCTTCTTGCTCATTGGTTGGGAATCACACCTAGTGGTGCTTAGGAAACATAGGGTATCAGGGATCAAGCCCAGGATTCCCATTTTGCAAAGCATATACTCCAGTCCTTTGAGCTATCTCTACAGCCTACTTCATAGCATCCCTTGAAGTCAGTTTTTATTATTTGAAACTTAGTAAAAAGAAAACTGAGGTGTAAAAGGGTTAAGACATTCCAAGTTTCCTAACCTGGTAAGTGGCACAGTGGTATTTGAACTTAATTTTTATTCTAAATTTGTTACTTGACCTCCACACCATGAAGCCTCTCATACAGGAAGAGAAGCCTTGTGTCACAGAGAAAAACTTAGAAGATTTCTAGTTGCATGATCTATATGCCTGTGTTATCAGAGGCCAGTAGCTTGAGCCATATTCTATTTCATTAAATCTTCACACAGACTTGTGACATAGGTACTGTTTTGTTTTTGGTTTTTGGTTTTTTTGTAGGATTGGGGTGTGAGGGGTGGGCCATACCTAGTGGGGCTCAGGGCTTATTACTGGCTTCACACTTGGATCCTTCCTGCTGCGGGTCAGGGCAGAAAGGTGCAAGGTATTGAACCTGGTTTTGGCTTCACTATGTTGAGCTTTCTTATTTTCTCCTTAGGAAAAGAAGAAAAAGAAACACAGAGACAGGAAATCATCTGACTCTGACAGCTCAGACTCTGAGAGTGATACAGGCAAGAGGGCAAGACACTCATCAAAAGACAGCAAGGCAGCAAAGAAGAAGAAAAAGAAGAAGAAGCACAAGAAGAAGCACAAGGAGTGAGAGTAGAAAGAGTGAAAGGGGTGGTGGTTGAGAGGAGGACCAGGAGCCTTGTGCCTTAACGCCATGGCTCCTAGAAAGCCTTGATACTGAGGAATGACCTCCCACCCCATTGACTTCTCTCCCTTGGGAGATGACTTCCCCTGACGCAGCTGGCAGGTTTGGGAGTTAGGTGTCAGAAACATCTGCTTGAATGAGTTGTTTCCTTATGTTTTTGGTCCCTTTGCAAGTGACCCCATGCAGCTCACCCATTCATTCATTCAACTTCATTCAGCAGAAGGTCCTATTACCCTCTGCAGCTGCCACTGCCAGAACTAGATTCCTGTATGGGGGAATCTAGGCTAGAGCCACAGGTGGTACTACTGTGGTGAGTCTGGCTGTAGTTGTAGTGCTGCCCTTTACTGATTATTGGGTAATCTCTGCTGCATCCAATATGGTGGCAGAGGTAGAGTGGCAGTATGAGGTAGAACATGGTGAGAAGTGGTGCTCACTTTTTCCACACCCCTTAATATGACTCTACGCTAGATAACCATTGTGGTCACAGCCAGAAAACCATTGTTTGCAGTGACTGAGCTTTTGTGTGACATTTCACCAGATAGCTTGAGCTAAGATTATTGTTCTACTTTGTTCTACTTTGTATTTACTACTGTGTGAGTCAGTTGGTTGCACTTCAGGTTTCTGCTTAAATTCCTGGCACTAAATGAAGTGTGTTTGGTTCTAAACTTTGTGGAAGTTTTTATTACTGTAATCCTTCCCAGGTAACTTTTGGACTTAAAAGTCACTGAGTCTGCATTAGTTGATAGAAAAGCACTTAATATGTTACCCCAAACCTTGAAGAGCAGCTTAAGTGTGGTATAAGCTAGAAGCACTTATACCTATTAGGTCACAGCCTCTTAGGAGATAACCTATAATCACTCTCTTTCTAATGATCAAATGACCTCTTCCTCTAGAGCTGATTAGTGAGAATTGTAACCATAAGTAATGGCCTAGGTTGGAGCTTGGTAGTTATCTTGGCCAACGGTCACTTCCCCCTCTACTAATGGCCAAGCTTGGATCCTGTGTCTCAAGTTTGCATTTTAGAGACCACAGCATTCCAAATCATCCAGCAACTATCCAGACCCAAGAACATTCAGTAGGGAATGGGTTTGAGGTGGTGCTTCACAAGGCAGTCATGGTGAAGCCCTGCCATTGATTACTCATTCCAGGTTGAACTAGATCATTTGGTCATAGGGAGGTAATGTAAAGGTAAAATACAGGAACAGCTGTTTAATTATTGAGCATGTAAGATAATCAGCTGCCTAACACTGTCCCAAAGACTATCTGTTTCAGTCTTTCATCCAGTGCTGCTTTTTGCATGACTTCAGGCAGTCATTTCTGCTTACTCTCTTGACAAATAAGGAAAATCAAGACTCCCAAAGTTATATCACCAAGGCAAAAAAGACAACTGAATGGCTTTGGCTCTGTTTATTGACCTCAGAGCATCCTTTGTATGCAATTAAAAAAAAAAACACAATTGGAAGTGGAATTGAAACCATGCTGGGGCTACCTGACTCCAGAATTCCCCAACCATGGTGGAGTTATACAAAATGACAGGAAAAATTGAGGCAATCTGGTTCTGAGTCCAGAGTAGTCAGTTGACAGAAGAGCATCATGAAGGAGTAGGCAAGTCATGCGTCTTTTTCATAAGTGCGAGTGCAAACTACATTGCCGTAGGTGAGTGTCTGAAAGGAAAAACAGATTAGAAAAATGTGAGGGTAGGCAGACATCAGAGCACTGTTCCCCCCCCCCCCCCCGCAGGGGGTGGGGAGGGAGTTTCCCAGGCATCTAGATCAAATGCTGACACCGAAACCTGCTCAGGGAGCTTGGGTGCCACTCTTGGCAGTCCTCAACCAACTGAGCTCGATGGTTCAATGTGAAGGCCTAGTGATTCCGTATTGCTCAGGCCCAGCTGTGTCATTGGGGCCACCCTGGTAATGCTCGAGGTTCTCCATGACTCTACAGGTGGTGCCATAGGAGCCATGTGATGGCAGGGATCAAAGTCAGATCCTTGTACAGCATGTACTCTTGACCCATGAGCTGTCTCCTCAGCCCCTAGAAATACTCTTTGCTTAGAGGTTACTCCTGGCTCTGCACTCAGGAATCACTCCTGGCAGCTTCAGGGGACTATATAGGATGCTGGTGATTAAACCTGGATCAGCCAAGTGCAAGGCAAGCACCCTACCTACTGTACTATCTTTCTGGTCCATTCATTCTAACACTTTTCTAATCTGGACTGCCTATCCATGCCTAGTACCTTACATATATGTTTATTTTTTTCTTTTACATTTTTCTTGTCCGTCTTCTTTTTACTGTCTCCTTTCTTTTTGGCTTTTGTATTTTTTTGCACATTTGTTTTTTGGTACCACACCTTACAGTGCTAAAATACTCTCCTGCTCAAAGGCCACTCCTTGCAGTGCTTGGGAAACCATGTTGCTCCAGAGTTTGCACCTGGGCCTCCCACATGCAACGCATGTGCTGTACTACACTGAGCTGTGTTTATATTGTCTTTCTATATTTTTAACTAATGTACTAAGGCTTTAAGATAGGCATTGTTGAACTGGGAATGTAGCTCAGCGTTAAGTACTTGCCTTGCATATGTGAGGCATTGGGTTCATTCTTTACATTCTCTCGCACCGCCTTCCCATCCTCTTCCTCAAAAAAAAGGGCAAAAATTCCCAATTTTCTCAAAGAGGAATTACAGTGCTTTTATTTATTTATTTACTTACTTACTTACTTACTTAACCCCCAGTGCCTCACACATGTAAAGCAATTGCTTTACATTGAGCAACATTCCTAGTCTGGAAAATGAGCTTTTTTTTTTTTCTTGTTGTTGGGTGTTGTTTGTTTTATAACCAGCAGTGACTGTTGGCAACATGAAGGCAGTCTATCACCTAACATTAAGAGACAGTTACATCTCAGAAAGTCTAAGGTATGTCTGATTGCAGATGTAAAATTTGAGTAGCACTGCACTGTAGCACTGTCCTCCCGCTATTCATTGATTTGCTCAAACGGGCCCAGCAACGTCTCCATTGTGAGACTTGTTACTGTGTTTGGCATATTGAATATGTCACGGGTAGCTTGCCAGGCTTTGCCGTGTGGGTGAGATACTCTCGGTACCTTGCCGGGCTCTTCAAGAGGGGTGGAGGAATTGAACCCAGGTCGGCCGAGTCGGCCGCATGCAAGGCAAACACCCTACTGCTATGCTATCGCTCATTTGAAGCTTTAGTCTCATGTATATCAAAATAAGTTCTCACCAAGACAAAAAACTTTTGGAAAAAAGAGCTGTGAAATAGGAAATAACTTGATCAAGATCCCAGTTTGTATTTCTATTACCCTTTCACCATTCCTCTTCATTTCTGCATAGTGCACATAGTAGACAAATAAGTGAGTAAAAATGTTCAGATTCTTGTGTTGGGAGTCACTCCAGCAATGCTTAGGGCTATATCAGGTGAGAATTTTTTTTTTAATGAGTTTGTTTTGTTTCGGTACCAACTCAGAGCCATACACATGCAAGGCAAATATTTTGCTGCTGACCTATATCCCCGACCCTTGGTACCTCATTCTTAATTCTGTAGGGATCACTTTTCATGTAAATTCAAGAATATGGTGGGCAGGATAAAGGGTCTGTGAAGATGCTGACATGAAAACCTGAAGCTGTACAGAGTTATGAGGCAGAGACCACTGCTAATTGATGCTGTTTCTACTGGTGGGTCTAAAAGTGTTTAGTCAATACCATATTTTTTATGTAAAGTCTCAAAGTTTGTCCCTGAACAGACAGATTTGCCACCTGGGTTATCAATCTCCTATACAGATTGTGGTCCTATCCAGATACATGTGGTAGGCCAAACACAGAGATTACTGAGAAAAGGTGGGGCTGGAATGAAGTAGAAAGGACGGTTACTGGGGCTGGAGCAATAGTACAGTGGGCAGGGTGTTTGCATTGCACGCGGCCGACCTGGGTTCGATTCCCAGCATCCCATATGGTCCCCTGAGCACCATCAAGGGTAATTCCTGAGTGCTGAGCCAGGAGTAACTAACCCCTGTGCATCACCGGGTGTGACCCTAAAAGCAAAATATATATATATATGAAAAATATGAGAAAGGGTGGTTACTGGTCAATATCTGTTCAAAGGCTCTGCGTGTGGCAGTATGGTCCTGAAGGGGACAGGGAAGGGAATACTGTGGCAGATGGAGCTTTCCTTGATGGTCTGGATCAGAATTAATTGAACCTGGGCAAAGGGGAACACAAGATGAAGAAACTATAGAGCACTTTGTGTTATGCATCCATTATCTCCTTAACACTTTCTAGTGGCCCTACAAGGTTAGTGTAATTATATTGCAGTTGGGCTTGAAGAAGGCACAAGTCCAAAATCATGCAACCAGTATATCAAAATATGAACCTCAGCTGTATCAATTCAAAGTCACTACACAGAAAATTCTACCAAAAACCACCCAACCCTACCTCTGCCCTGCATTTTCCCAGTTTCTATTGTTCCTTTTTATAGCAGGCTTGGCTGAAGGGACAAGAGTATAGTGACCAATTATGAGAGGTTTGAGAGTTGTCCATCTTACCAAGATGAGTTTTCCATCAATTAACTCCCGCACAAGTGTTGACTCTTTCCCATCCCACTTCTGTACCTGGACAAGTTTGCCTCCATCCAGTGTCACAGTGGTCTGTAGAGAGAGGGTAGAGGTCCAAGCTGTGATGTGAGTCAGGAACTGAGGAATTGGAGGGGGGTGGGGTGGGGGGTCTGTGCACTGATTTCACAGAAAATAGAGTTACCCAGACTAATGTTGGTGCTAAGAAAAGAGTTGCGGTAACCCACCTCCAGCTGAGCTCTACGGCACATCTAGTTTACATTCAGCTGCTACTCCACTGCTGCTGGCAAAGGAGGGGTCTTTAAGTGTTGACAAGCAAGGAAAGGTAAACAGTATAGTGGGGCTACTATCCAGGCTCTGAGAAGTGCCACCAGCCTTCAAGCTGAACACTTAACTGTGCAGTCTAGACCCATAACTCATTAAATCTTTTTAAGACACAGGTATATTCCAGCCTAGAATTTGGGGCCAGCCTAGTGAGGAGTCCTGAGATTCTCACGTACGAGTTATCACAAATAATGTCTAAAAGACCCTTGGTGGTGTGAAATATCAAGAAGTTAGATTTTATGCCCTTTATTACTGTTTTCTTGTGACCCCTTTGTCTGAAAGATGGCAGGCATCTGCTGATTTTGCCCTTGGAATGTTCCACAGCCCTTGTCAAATGCTTATTTAGTCTTATAGGTGCTGCCAGCCTCTTATCAGCTGGCTCTTATTTGTCAGGCCTCTCTTTTCTAGGAATTACGGGAGTAGGCTCTAGGTCAGGCTAGGGGACCCTGACTGCAGGTAACAGTAGGAGAATTTGCGAAGCCCTTAAATTTGGAGCTGGATAGGGGTGGGGATGGACCTTCACATCCTGTGTGCTTAGTGTTTTGGTTTTGTTTTGATTTTTCTGCCCATTAGAAAAGCCTAGGTTGCCCAAGGAATTACTGTTATATTTAAATGGAAATCTTGCCCTTGAAGAAGATGGTCTTAAGTCCAAGAGAATGGAAGTATGTGGTAGGGTAGCCATTCTCAGGTAGGCTTCATCTCTGCTTTCCCAGTTGTGCTTCTGCTTCCTGTGTAATCATGGACTCAGCTCCAGCTCTTCCACAAGGCGGCTAGATCCTACCCTTCCTTTCTGGGGGCATTTATGAAGCAGAGAAAATAGCTGAAGGGGCTAAATATTAGTTCCATGTTCAGATACTTAGGTATACCCTGCAGAGGTCAAAACCCCTTAGTTGTTCTCTCATGCTTGGCTCAGGAATTGGGTAACCTGAGACAAGCTTCCAGGACAGACACACTATAGGATAACAAGTACTGAGGGGGACACTAACCTTGGTAAGAACACACTAGAAATGCAACTGAGGCGGCGCCAAGCCTAGGGCATAGCTTTTCCTGTCTATGGCTGGCAGCATTTGGAAATAATTTCTCAAGGTCACTGGCTGATCCCAGGGACTATAGATGGAAGAGGAAGCATTCGTCTTGTCCCCAGCAACCGTCTTTGCTGCTGGAGGCCAGTTCAAACTGCCCACTTTATATCCCTGACTTCTGGGCCTCATTCCTAAAGCACTTGAGGTTACAGCCAGGGCCACATAACTTCCCTATCTATGGAAGAGGAAAGAAAACCAGAGCTATTGCATGCCAGGCATAAGATCACCTTCCTGGAGCTGGAGAAAAGACTAAAGTCAGAAGCATATGCTGCTTCTGTGTAACCCATTCCCAGTAGCAGGTAGTAGTTTTGTCCTAAGGACACATCTCTTATTTAGCCTTGGATATTCCAGCACTGTGAGGCTTTATGGACCTTGTTCCTGTCAATCTCCCATAATAGCTTACCCCTGAGGGCTCAGTAATCTATTCCCTTCGGGGTCTCAGAGTCTTTCTTTATCTTTATTCACTTAATGTGACTCACCTTGACCTTTCGGTCATCTGCGGTTGTCTCATCAAACTCCTCCCCGAGCTTGAAGCTGATCTCTGTGTTCTTCAAGGTGCTGTGTGTTTTCACGGTGATAACGTCCCCATTAACTTCGATGATTGTGGAAGGCTTGGTCATGCCTGCCACCTGCCTGGTAGCAAAACCCACACCTGAGGATAGGGGAAAGTTATGAGTGGAGAGGTAAGGTATAAAGAGCTCAGTGTACAACTCTTAAGCCTGGATACAGGGGAAAAGACAAAAATTTTTAAAGACTACATGACCATTTTAATTTTTATTTGGGGGCGTGCGGGGAGGTTGGGACACATCTCAGGAGACCATATAGGGGTGTCAAGGATCAAGCCCATCCCTTGGTAAATGCCTCACCTACAGTACTATTGCTTCAGCCTCTACATGAACATTTTAAAATTCAGTTTTCTGTTTTCATTCATCAATATGGTGGAGAGATATTAGTATTGATTTCATTAGATGAGGAGCTTAAGAAACAGGCAAGCCACAGCAAATTAGTGGTGGACTGAGATGAGAATAACTGCAAGTAAGGGCAAGTGTTAGTTATCTCAACCCTTTTAGTCTCCCCAGAGGGTTACCATTTTCCCTATAGATGCAAAAACTGAGTTTATGCCTGGGGTCATAGACTGGAATTCAAACCCACTTGGTTTGACTGCAGAGCTCACTTAGCTACTTAACATTCCCAACTCGTGTTCAGGGCACCATGAACAGCTAAACGGGTTTCACAGCTGAAGAAAGAGAAATATGAATTTTGCTTTCCAAAGACTTAGTAACAAGAATTTTCCATCTTTGAGAGCTTATCTAGGAGAGTGATTTTTTTTTTCAACCTCATGGCATAAGATTTTACCAGTGGTCGTGTGTGGATGTAAAAAGTTAACAATCACCAATGGAGATAAGCAGAAAGGAAACATTTATCTCAGATCTAGGAGAGGCTTAAACTGGTATTGAATCTAGGTCTCCTGACTTCTAGTTTGAGCCCTCTGCAAACTTCCCTGCTGACCCAGGAATGGCTTCCCTGTGTACTCTGCAAAGTTTACATGTGGAACAAGAGCTTTTAGGCAAAGCCTTTATCCCTTCAAGTTGTGACTTCCCTGGAATATGTTCTTTTGCCTCCAGGAGCCTCTGCTGAGCTGTACTGAGTAGAGGCAGGAGGCAAGCCAATGTGATGGTGAATTAGTGTGGGTCAAGTACCCAAATATGCCTAATTGCTTGGGGCTTACTGTAAGGCAATATACTTAGTTCATGCCCTATGCTAGTTTCACTGAACAGTTTATCTCAGTTCGTAAAAGGGGCTCAGGGAATGAAGTGACTTGCCTAAAGTCAAAGAAGAAATGATTGACTTGATTTAAATCTGGGCTCTAAAACTTCAATATTCCCTCTGGGCCATTCTGCCTTTTAGCACATACTTCATTCACATATTAGGGCTAGGATGGGCCTCTTTGTACATCAGAACATTTGGTCTAAAAAAAGAGGGGCAAGGGCTGTCTTTGCAGCTATGCTATTGCTCATTCACCCCGCCTGGCCAGTTGGGGACTTGGTCTCACTTCCACCATTAGTGAGGCAAGCCCGTTCCACTTCTAGCAAGAGGACAGCAAGAGAAACTTTGTTTCTTAGGACCTACAGAAAGATGTAATGTCTAAAGAAGACATCCGTTGTGGAATGAGAGGCTTAGCAAAGAGAACCCAAGACAGAAAACGGAGCTGGCAATTTAGGAGACTCATGAAGAATCGTGTTCTACTTAGAAAACTGAAGATGAAGGACCATGGAGAGTTCATTCAGCTGTATTGCATGCATTGCTTGCAGAAACCATGAGTTTCATCCTTGGCACCATGTTTCCCCAAACACTATCTGCTGTGGCCTAAAGAGAGATGTAGCCATTAGGGTGCATGAATAGCACAGCATCTAAGGACCTTTCTGTTGAACTTATGTGCCAGTTGACTAAAAATTGCCATTGGAGTCCTTGACCTCCTGAGCACTCTTTGGGAGTTCTCCCTCTCAAAACATGGGGGGAAATGAAGCTAAAACTATTTTACAGAGATTTGAGAGGGTCTTGTCAACCCAGGCCTTTCATTATAGTGAAAAAAAAAACAGGACTGGATGGAATCTCAGCCCTCTAGCCCAACTGGGGAACAAGGATGTTGCAGCTAATTTCAGGGACTTGGCTTTTCAAACATGTGCTGTGGGAAGTTTGGGTGAAGGAAGTAACTAATCTTAGACATTTCCCAACAGCTGCCCAGGACTGTCTGCTTCTCCAAGAATGGCTACCTTCCTGGAGTCGTGGGCATAGTGCCTAGTACAGGGTAGGGCATTTGAGAGCATTGGCCTTAAGAGCCAAAACTTGTGGGTCCTATTTCAGGAAAGGATAAGGAGCAGAGGTGAGGTGCCAGGAGCCCCCACCCCTTTAAGTGTCTGCCATAATCCTGCTCCACCTCCCACTTTCCTGGGATGGAACGTAGCTGGACCATGAATGACATTCCAGTTTCCCACACCCCAGCTTGGGGGGACGCATGTATCAATCCTTTCCATCTAAGCCCAACCTAGAGGGAAAGGGATGGGGTCAATCATTAGCTAGGATATTCCTACCACTCGCACCTCCAAGGCCCGTAATGGGAACTGCTGCAAACCCAGCGATCTCTTTTCATATTGGTGCTGCTATGGATCATCTCTCCTGCTAGGCACAGTATGGCATCTCCAAGGAACTTGACCAAAATTCTTTGAATCTTTGTGCTTCCCTATCATAAATCAAAGACCCTCCCTGCCTTTAACAGATCTTGGCCTCTCGGACTTTTTCCTACTCCAGAAGTCCAGTAACTTCCAACGGCCACCTCCATGAGCATCTGAACTTTGCATTGCAGCTGGTGTTGGGGCCTTTTGCCCCACTATCCCAAAGCGCACTGGCAGTGATTAAAGCCTGGTCAGTCTAACCACAGCAGAATAAGGTCAGATTCCCTGGTGAGAAAGAGGGCATACCCAGGCAGCGATCTAGTCCCCAAGCCCATAGAAGGATTGCTGTCTACTGGGTGTGTCTCCTCTCACCTCTGCCTTCATATCCCATTCATCATTCCCCACTCTCATCCTGGCGCTTCCGATTTCTTTAGGCTATTGTACACTCCCTGTTTTCACACCTTTCCCTTCTTGTATTCACCCTCCAATTTCAAAACCACTTCTGTGCCTTTCCTCCTATAACCAGTTTCTTGCCTTTTACAGTCAATGCATCTTTATCCAAGCCCAGATTGTAAATCTGTCAAAAATGCTCCCTGGCCCCCCACATCAGCTGGCACATCTTCCTCCTCACCCTTCTCCCTTAGACACAGACCATGGAAGCCCCTTGCCATCTGCCCCGCATGCCCACGACCAGGTGAAATGCTGTGATTGTGCAGGGTACTAGCCAGGGGTGGAAGTTCTGCACCGAACTGGGCACATGGCCAGCCCCTTCCCAACCCAGTATTCTGAGCCCCGCTCACCCAGTGCCTTCATGTAGTCATCGAAATTCTTGCTGTCCACCAGCTTCCAGGTGCCCAAGAAGGCATCCACCATGGTGAAATTGTGCTAGGTTGAGAAGAGGCGACAGGAAAGGCAAGCAGGGACTCCGGGGACCAGCGGCTCCGAGCCCGCCCTGCAGCTTTAAATAGCTGTAGCTGCACAAGAGGAGGCGTGGCTCCCAGCTTTCCCCCACACCCACCAGCACACACACACACACACATCCCCGCCCAGAAATAAGAAACCTGGTGCTGGCACTCACCACTGAGGGCTGGGCGCCCATCCCCCAGTAGATGAGGGAATGGGCAGATGGGGCGCCTGCCTCGCGGTGTCAGCTCAGCGCAGGCGCCCAGCATCCAGCTTGCTGCCCGGGCTGCCAGGACTAACCGCCTTTCCTGGCCTCTAGCTAGACGCTCTTTGGCACCACAAGCATCTGGGGGCAAGGTCCCTACTAGGTGGGACACACGCCACGGGCGGTTTCTGTGCCTCAGTTCTTTCCCAAGCCTGGGATCAGAGAAACCTTGTCCTTGGGTCCAACCTTGATACCCCCACGCCAAAGCTCTGGCTGGCTCTCAGTGCACTGACATGCTGGTCCACATTTTCCGGTGAGGATGCCAAACGGCTCCGAGGGGAACTGACTAGGAACTAAGAAGAGTGACTTGGAGCTCAGATAGCAAGCCTGGGTTTAGGCCCATTCTGGCCCTCCACCCCCACCCCAGGCTTGGAGGGGAGAGAATCACCTGGGTACCACGTGGGCAGGGGGCATGCTGACCCCACACGTGCTCGCCCCTCCCAGCGGAATGTCCCCTTTCCACTGTAGCCACCTCCACCAGGCCAGTGCCTCAAGCCATTTGACCTCTGTCCTCGGCTCCAAGCATTGGTTGGTTGAGTTGGTCATCAACACTCACCTTCCTTCAGACTTTCAGCCCAGTCAGCTCTTCAAAGACAGATCCCCTCTCTCCCAGTTCACTCTTGACCTCTGCTCAAGGCAGCAGCCTGCACTTGCAGCTGGCATTTTCAGGCACTTCCTGTATAGAGCCTTGTGTGAGTTCGGTTGTTTGACACCTTGCACACAACCCCATATGGTACCCAAGCTCCACCAGGAGTGATACCAGAGCACAGAACCAAAAGTAAGCCCCAAGTATAGCTGGATGTGACACCAAAGGGAAAACCTTTTTTGTTGTTCTGTTCTGTCATTTGGGAGGCCACACCTAGCAATCCTTAGGGGTTACTCCTGGTTCTGCAGTTAGGAATTGCTCCTGGTGATACATGGGGGACCTACATGAAATGTCTGGGCTTGAACCTTGGGTAATTATTACATGTTGAAGGTTTTAAGTACATTGTTGTCTCACTGAACTTTAAAAACCAGAGTCCATGAAGTAGGCTTTCTTCCTGTTCTACAGATGAGCAAACTGAAGCTTCAAGGAGGCCAGTGACAGGCCAGAGTAGGTAGGGCCTGTACTTACTTTGTAGATTTGTAGATTTCCTCCCCAGCACCACACATGGTCCCCCAAGCAGCACCAGGAATGATTCCTGAGCTCTGAGCCCTGAGCATCACCCCCCACCACCAAAAAAAAAAAGTCCAGTGACAACTATGAACCAGACACCCTCAGGTAGTTGACCTCATGTGAAGCAGACACAAAAGTAGTTGGTGACCTAAAGAAAGACCTGTCCTGATTAAAAAGTTCAGGGAAACTCTGAGGAAGTGTAGCATATATGAATTTCTGAGAGACAGGAGCTTGCATAAAGGAACAGTGTCAGCTGATTATTAGCCTGCAGAGTTCCTGCAGGGGTCTAGCCAGAGACCACCTAGGACCCCCTCTCCCCTTTGTGGAAGGCCCTCTTTCCTGGGAAGCTGAGACCACCTCCTTTCCCCAGTTTTGCGGGAAAGGGGCCAGGAAGGAAGAACTCTTTCCCCCTAGGTCGTAACTTCTTTGGACAGGCCCATTTGCCAGAGACCACTGGGACAGGCCTCAGGGCTGGGCATGGCGCCCTGGTGACCTCACTGCCGGAGCAGGTGTTGGGTGGGGGGGTGGGGGAGAGTGATGTTTTCTCACTCAAGGTCACACCCCTTAGATAACAGGGCCTCCTCTGTCAAGTACTGAGTGGCTGAGACCCAGAGCCTACAGCTGTTCTCCACAAGGTCCTTCTAATGAATGACATGGTGGAAAGCTGAAGCAGGACTTTGAGCTACTGCACATCAGTGTTCCACTTCCCATTCAGTTGGGTCCTAGCTATACCCAATTCACTTTAAGTCACTCTAAGTACTGACAGTATTTATCTGATAGAGGGGTTGAGGCATTGATTGCAATGACATTTAAAAAACAGAGCAGGGAAGACTGAGAAGAGTTTACTGCTGCCGTAAGCATTATTGTCTCAGTGGAGAGATCTTGGCGCCTGAGACCTGATTCAACTCAGCCCCTCACCTGCTGGGCCACCCCATACAGACTCCTGTACTTTTTTTCCTTTTTGCTTTTGGGGTCATGCCCAGTGATGCTCAGGGGTTACTCCTGGCTCTGCACTCAGGAATTACTCTGGGTGGTGCTTGGGTGACCATAGAAGATGCTGGGAATCGAACTCGGGTTGGCTGCAAGCAAGGCAAATGCCCTACCTGCTGTGCTATCCCTCCAGCCCCTCCTAGGCTTCTTTAGTCGTTAGTTTTCTTATTTCTGAGACAGGTTTAGAAACTAACTGCTATGAAAAAGGAGCTATAAAGGTCTTCAGGGTGGCCTGATCAGACAATGCCAAAATGCCTTTTCACTCCCTCTTGGGCCTAGGCACAGTTCAGCAACATGGTCCTTTGAGAGATTCAAGACAAACCCCAGATCCAATACTCAAGTCCATCTCCTCTTTCTCCCCTCTGCACCATGGGTCACCAAGGTGGACTCCTAAGCTTCACTCTGACTCCTTTCCACCTGCTTTCTTTCTCCCGCTTGCTACACACAAATAGCCTTCTCAGCCCTTAGATTGCCTGCATCCTCCTTGCCCAAGTATGCTGGCTACACTTGTGGAATGAGGGGCAAAGGAAGGGAACATGAGCCCTGTCATTTTTTCTGTTGCCCTCCCCTCCCCATCCCCCTTGCTCACCGTTGGCAGATCCAGAGGAAATAGAACATCTGGCAGGCAACAGGACCAATCGCCACCAAGAGCAGCATTGCCCCAGCCCTTGCTGAGGGTGATGTCACTGTTCAGTGTTTCCATGCCAACCAGAGACTGGAAAGATGGAGAAGAGAGATGAGTAACCAGGAAAGAGCCAATGAGAAGACCCATCAGCACCAGCTGATCCATGGGGCCATAGGGAGGGGCAGAGGGAAGTGTTCAGCATCTTCAGCTGTTGTCCCGGCCCCTCACTGGCTGTGCTGCTGGCATAGAGAAACATGAGCAGTAGAAGCTGAGCCTCCCTTTATCTCTTCTGGGTCGAAAGCTGTGGATGTTGACCACCCTACTCCATTCTACCCTATTTTCAGAACCTGAAACAGAATATATTTTTTTAAATTTTTATTAGTGAAACACTTTGCTTTTTGGGTCACACCCAGCGATGCACAGGGGTTACTCCTGGCTCTGCACTCAGGAATTACTCCTGGCGGTGCTCAGGGGACCATATGGGATGCTGGGAATCAAACCCGGGTCGGCTGCGTGCAAGGCAAACGTCCTACCCCCTGTGCTGTCTCTCCAGCCCCCTGAAACAGAATATTTATCCTTTGCTTAGAGTGGTAGTGGGACTTTTGGTCTCTGTCTGCCACCAAATCTTCATGACTGACAAAAAGCAAAAGAAAAAACAAAAAAGAAAAGGGGGGAGGGGTCTGGAGCAGTAGCACAGCGGGTAGGGCACTTACCTTGCATGTGACCGACCCCCAAGTTCGATTCCCAGCATCCCATATGGTCCACTGAGCACAGCCAGAGGTAATTCCTGAGTGCAGAGCCAGGAGTGACCCCTGTGCATCACCAGGTGTGACCCAAAAAGCAAAACAAACAAAAATCTTCACGACTGAGTCCTTATCTTCTATCCTCCACCCCCATGCCAGTACATGTTATATTCAGAAGCAGTATCTGGGGGTCTGCCTCTTAATCCCAAATGTAGAACCTAGCTAGAGACTAGGAGCCGCCCTTTTTCCCTGCTGAGTCTCCTTTGCTCCCAAGTGGAGGAAGGCCATCTGCTCAGGCATGGGCCTTAAGAAAGACAATGTGCGAAGCCTGATACTCAATGGTGTGTGTACCCCTTCTCTTTCTGAGTCTCCTCCAATGAGCCAGGACCATTGAGAACCAATCCAAATACATCTCTAGCTCTACCTCTCTGAAAACACTGAAGTCTTCAGATACAGGAGTGCTTTCAGATCCTGCATATCTCCAAATATTTCATCTGTTTCACCAACTGAGCACACCTGTCCCGGGTGCTGTCCGGGTCCATGGGGTACATGCCCCAGGGTTAATAGGAGAGCTACAGTCATGGCCCCCACTGAGGACACACTGTAAAAAGATTGCTTCCACAATGGGGAGAATGGAGTGTTCTTTTGGCCACTAGGAAACTGCTTCCTCCTTCCGCAAGAGATTCTAGATAACTGTGAATCTGAGAGAACAATTGGTGGCAAAAGGTAGAGGTGTACTTAATACCAGTGTACTTCTGAGAAATGACTGCAGAGCAGGATGCTCCCTGGAAGGGGAGCAAGGGCTCCGGGGAAGGGAGGGTGCAGCTCAGTGTGAAGGATTGGCACATCCGCCTTCCCTGAAACCAGCTGTCCTCCCTGTGACTAACAGATAAATCCAACTCTGTAGCCTCATCTCATCCACTTCATTAGTTGAATTTATTACTGAAATTCTGCTCCAGCGGGAAGGCCTGGCAGATAAGCATGAATGAATGAGTTTTGAATGACAGAGTATATTGAATAATAATGCATGAATGAGTAAGTGAATGAATCTGTTTCTCTAGCACTAGGGGCTCTGTTGGCAAATTCACTTGGGTTCTTCCTTGTCTACTCCAATTCCTTACATATCAGGTGTGTGACTTGGACAAATCATGATCTCTCTGGGTCTCCATTTCTTTTCTTTAAACAAACAAACCTGAGGCTGGCCCAGATTAGATCCCTGGCATCCGATGGTCGCTCTCGCACCACCAATGCCGTGCATTGGCGTGCAGCGCCTG